CCATATGCGTGTTTAGACAAGGGGGACTAATTGCTGCACTGTACCGAGGAGTTGATGAGCGTTAGGTCACGCTTCGCATTGTGTTGGTTTGCGAAATAGGGCGGTGGTGTCGTGGTGGGGGCCTCTCTACGGCAGAACTCGAGTTGGGGGGTTGGGGATTGGGGGGGGGGGAATGACCTTGGCTAGGATGAACACTTCTCTCGTGCCTTGCCAATAACCATCGCCTTGACATATTGACTCCGGGTTGTTGGTAATTACAGGACATTCAATTTCAGAGCCAACACTGTGTCGAGTATCGACTGACTTTGACACCCAGATGTTGTGGTGAGACTCTGGCACATGCAAGCGGCTTTCTTGTCCGTCACAGTCGGTGGGGCGCAGTCGTTAACCGCCGCACCTGCAATAGGGCTGTTTACACGTCGCACGAGAAGGGAAGTTGGGATGGAAACGTCAGCTTTCCGAGTGACAATCGCACCGTGCCTGATTGTATTTCGAATGCATGCTTGTGTTGGAGGTTGGCAAACCGCACGATGAAAATTATGGAAGAACAAAGTTACTCATTCATATCCAGTGGCAACAAAGGCTTTTTTGACTACACCGTTTTCGGTGTGGCGATAGTGGATTGCATCATAAGCCACGTGTGAATGTGCGGTGGTAAAGTGCTAGACTTTTTGTGTGTCCATTTGCAAGTAATTGGCAGTTTGACTGCCCATGCCAGCATTACTTTTGAAAATTAAACTGCTGGCATTTCATAGAAGTCGGCACTTCCTTTATGTCGATATGCCGCACCACGCGGGCACAACGTTTTTATTTTTTTAATGTTGCTATATCGGTTTCGTTCCTGAGACGGCATTTTGCTTCGCATGCGGCGATTTAAGGTCAAGCGGTCTCTTGGCATGAAACTTCTTTCCATATCACTCACCGCACACGCCAATTTCAAATTGACTTCATCCTTCAAAGGCGTGTGCGAGCTTTGGACTTGGACATTTTCGCGTTCGCGGAACCTTGAGCGATGAAAGCGGTGGCTCGTTAAGGTGCCCGACGACGGGCGTGCGATCGCATCCAGCGCACTTGAACTATTCGCATTAATTTGTTTCATTTTTCCCCCCGCTGCACTTAAACGGAAGAGGCTACATTTTAGCGAGGCTGCCGTGAAGATGAAGGGGCGGCGAGGGTTGGGGGGGGGTCAACGACAGCCTTCGACGACGCCTTCCACAAACACGTGGCGCGGGGTTGGCGGTGCATGCTCGGTACTTGGTGCCCCGCTTGGCCGTCGTCGTTCAGCAGCCGAGCCTCCTCTCGACCGCAAAATTCCAGAGAAGGGTGCCCGGCTTTAGTGGCAGAAGTTGTTTTGACCCGCCGGCAAAACCCGTGGCCGAGACGGTGCCCAGGGTCAAGTATGCGCGTGGGATTCGCTAGGACGGTACAGTTAAAGGAAATGCATTTCTCCTCTCGTTAGTTACCATCCGTCGTCTTTTCGGGACGTTGAGAACGGTGGAGACCTTGATGTCTTGAGCCAGCTTTACGGCTGGCTTTACTTGTATCCCCTGTCGGTCAGAGCCCATCTTTGCTCTACCGCTATTTCTCGTTTCCATGTGCTTGCTTGCATAAAACCACATTTGGAAATCCTTTCTCCATCCGTTCTAGAAAAGTTTTTTCCAAAACCACCGGACTCAGATATTATATATTGGGGTTAACGCTCAATTCATAGCCACATCTTAAACGAGCGCAACATCACATGCTGCATTGCACAGTTGGAACGCATCAGCTGCCATTTTTACCATTGCCTGATTAAGTGCACTATTCCAAGCTGGGTTAATTACAGGCATAGAAAAGGAGCTGGCTGGAAAGAAGAGGTACATAGGGGCAATGTTTGTGGACATATGTGGCCCCCAGGGCTTTCAGATGCCAGTTACATAACAGATATACGTAAGTGGCATTCCAACTGTGACATGAGCACGAGCAGCAGCAGCAGCCCTCGAGGGCTGCGGCCAAAACATAACAGCATTGCTCGAGCACCGCATGGCACGGCACCGTGCCGGCTAAGGCCAGGCTGCCAAGATCGATGCAACTGCCGAATGTGGCAGCTGTTGCCAGTGGGCCGCCGTGTAACTGATAAAACAGTGGCCGCAAACATTCAGGCGGGGGGGATACCACGAAGATGGGGGAGGGGTTGGGGGGGGTGTTATCGAGCCCGAAGCTGAGAAGACGGACAAACTGCTGGGAATGTTGAAGGACGGACATTGTGGTGTTTGGCACGCACTGTGTTTCCCCCCCCCCTCCTCCTTCCCGATCGACCTCCCGTAGTTTTGTCCTAAGACTAAGAATCCGTTTGGAGATCTCACCGGCGAAGTTTTTAGCAACCGGTTCATGGAAGCAGGTGTCGCAGAAATAGTTATTAGATCACTAAAAGTGACTGCTTTCTTTCTTACTAGGGGACAGCAGTTTCCCTCCAGTTCTGCCGCAGAGTAAAATGTTCATCACATGACACTCGAGTTCATATTTGAATTGTCATAGCTGGAATTTATTCACGTCAAAGTCTCAAAACATGATTTAAAATGACGACTTTTTTTAGATTAGGTAACCGGGCGAAGACCATCGCCTCCCTACGCTTGTTAACCGAGTTTAATCATGGTCAGCTGAAGTCCGGATTTGAACCCACCCAGGATCCTCCAAGGTGCCAGCTGCCACACGCTGAACATGTTTGCAGTCGGAAGGCAGCTTTGCAGTCCTTCACGTTGCATGCAGAACAAGGGAACGTTGTCGCGGGCGTGTGCGGCGTTTCTGCGCATAGGAGAATGTTCCTTTTTGGCCTGACGTTTTTCGCTTAGTGTGAGACTGCGCGATTGTAGCCATCGCCAACAGAGCGGCAAATCGACAAGGTGAAGCGCTTCGACCGTTTTGGAAACATTTCAGACGCTATTCGGGTCCGTATGTGTCGCGAAAAAGTACACGCACGGTTACATTGAACGGCACGAGTTTACCGACTTTTAAAGTCGCCCATAACAGCTCGCACATTCAAGCGGATCTTCGCTTGCTTGCGGGTGTAAACGGTTGGTTTTTGGTGGCCGATTTCCTGCAGCAAGGAGGCAATAACGGCGGCCACTTAAACAGGGCGTCACCCACGCTGCGTTCACAAATCAACAGCCAGAAGCCCATGCCCACCCCAGTGGTGGGCTCGTTCGTGAGCTTGGGGTAAGCGAGAGCCTTCTTTGCGGTTGAAGGCTGGTTGAGTGGCGAGAGCAGTTGTTGGGGAAGTCTTTTGGAGGTCGTAAAAGTTGTTCCGTTTGGCTTGGGGGGGTGGGTGGGGGGCTTTGTAGGACTTTTGTTGGGCCGCACTGCTGGGTGTTGGCGAAAGCTGTGACAAGAGGCTGGGGACCCCCTCCTCCCCATGTGTGCGGCGGTTGGGGGTGGGTGGCTCTTTGAGAAAATGTGAGTGGCCGTCACGTGGCAAACCTGGCGACTGACCACGTCTCGACACGGGGAGGGGGAATTGTGTCCTTGTGTCATTGAAGTGCATTGACGGCCGAGAGCGATGGCCACCAGGCTAGCGCGTGGGCACTTGGCTGCGAATTTTAATTTGTATTGAGAAATATTGAATCTAGCCTAATTTCTTAACATGAGCTGCATGCATTTAACATAATTGCTACATGCAGGATATATATATATTTTGTATATATATAAAGGATTCTAATGTGTTGGTAGCTATAAAGTAAAAAGAGCGGAAATGTATTCGGCTAAACATTACTATATTCTTTTTTAACTCGTGCGGTGAATTAGAAATCGTAAAACTTTGATACATCCGCAGTGCCTAATTCTTACTAATGTGTTAATAGTAGGCTAAACATCCAAATCTAGGACCACAAATCATGGGTAAATGTTGGAATCCGTTATCTGTGGTTTTCCGCGCCTCCGTGCGAAAACTGTGCGCGTTACAAATACTACGGCGTTTTGAGATGCAATTTCCATGAACAGACCGCGCGCGCTATGTACAAATGCAACATGACTATTGTTATTAATGTGGCCCACATGCATGGGTGCGGAAGTGCACACGGCGGCCAAATCCAACAAAACATTGTTCGCTTGGTGGACAAAAACCCCCGAGTCGCAAGCCAAAAGCCACGCAGGGCCGCCACTGGCCGCGGTGACGCGACCCCCGCCGCGTCGTCCGGTTTTTATGTTTCCCAGCGCGACATTGCCCTGCTTCACTTTGCGTCGCCATTCAAAGGTCCTTAGGATCTTTTCCAAGGGCCCAGGTAGCGCTGAACCCTGCTCCGCACGGCCGACTCTGCAAATTGGCTGCCACTGTGGCACGCGTGGCGATCAGGCGCCCGTGACTTAAAAATATCAGAATCCATTGGCAGGGCACAGCTGTTCCAGGAAATTGGTAGATGGCTTGGTGTGCCGTCTGGGGAATAGCAGCACTCGCTTTGGAAAAAAAAAAACATTCCAAAATGACACGTCTGATCTTTACGCCTTGATTGGATCTTTGAGGGGCTCAGAATAAGGCTTTGTGAGCCACACACTGCATTCGAAACGGCCAGTTCATTGGCAGGCAAGCGCATTCCGGAGACGAACGATCACGCTACCTCGTGTCTGTGCACAACGTGTAACATATTAGAGAATTTAATCCACGCGATGTGGCTTTTAATGTGCACTGCACACTCGTAGGGGCCACGGTGCCGTGATGTGCTTTGTCACAAAATGTGCCGATTAATGTTTTGTTTCCTTGCCGTCGTTTTGTGCGGGGTCGTAATTCTGCTTTGATTTGGGCCAGAAGTGTTTATTGCTTTTAGATATTTAATTAGAAATGGAAGATCACGTTATGTTTTACTAGATAACCTTAATTTAAAAAAACTAAATATATGTACATTGACAAACTGCACGTGATTGCATAAAAAAAAATAGATTTCACGCATGTCAGCCGTACGCTTGATTGAATTGTCTTTTTAGAAAATCAGTTCGTAACCGAATTTGTAACCAAAATGTTTGTGTCGCAGACGGACCGTGGGAGGCTGCGTGGGCGAGGGACTGCAGCGTCGCCGCCAATTCTGGTCGTGAGCGTCTCGCGTGACGACGAGGAGGAGGAGGAGGCGTCGTCGTCGTGCCGCCCTGAACGCCGGCATGAGTCTGCCCAGTTTGCCGAGATGGACGATGTTTGTTTATTGCTTGAAGACCCAGCTTTGAAAGGAAAACATTATGGAAACAATTTAGACCGGCCGCAATATTTTGATAGCATTTAACGCCATCTGGAAAGCTTCGGCAATGATTAATACGGCTTGCTTTGCCTGCTGATATTTAATTTGGCTCATTTCGATGACATTAGGAATCAGATAGGTGGCTATGGATAGCATCCTGCAGGCGGGCAGAGCAAGGCATTGTAGGGGCAATGGCCAGCGTTAAACACTTGGCACTGGCAGAGAAGGTCGGCGTGGTGGAGCCCGGCGTCATGGCCGGGCCCAGCGGGGAGGCCCAGGGCGGCGTCCGCGCCGACGAGTTCTACTCGCGGCGGCTGAGGATGCAAAACGGCAGCGGCAGCGCACCGGGCTCGTCGTCGAAGGCCGACGGCCACCCCGCGCACGCCAACGGGACGCCCTCGGTGCCCCGCATGGGCGTGCGCGCCCGGGTGTCCGAGTGGCCCCCCAAGAAGGATTTCGACGAGGAGCCGGGTAAGGCACCGTGGGACGCACGCCCCGCGACGGCGCCGTACGACAACGTCCCGCCCAGGGCCTTCCCCACGTCACCGCCCAGGACCTCGCCGACGTCGTCGTCGAGGAGCGCGCAGGGGACGCCTGTGCGGCGTTCGCGGGACGACGGCGGGAGCCCCGACGCCGCCGACTGCTACCACTCGGCGGCCTCTCCGCAGAAAGCGGCGCACCCGCCACAACGGCAGAGGAGCAATAGCGACGTGACGCTGGCCGACCTGGACCTCAACGTGATATCCGTGAGTGCCAATTCCGGGATGGGCTCCCTGCACCGGGAGTACGGCAGCACCTCGTCGATCGACAAGCAGGGCGGCAGCTACGGCGTCGCAGCGGAAGGCTACTCGAGCCTCCTCAGGGGGTACCGTGCGGACGATTGCCAGGACTCGTCGGTGGCTTTCCCCGGGCCGAGTTTAGCCGACTGGCCCATGCTGGTGCAGGACCTTGACAAGAGCCCTGCGCTGCTGCTCAAAGAGAGGGAAAAGTCCCTGAAGCGGCGCTCGCGCTCCGACACAGGCGACAGCTCCATCTTCCGCAAACTGCGAAACCGGGTGGACGGCGAGTCGGCTTCCGAGAAGTCGTCGGACCAAGAGGACGGCCGCTCCGAGGACGGTTCGAAGCCGCCCTGGGTCTGCCAGAAGTGCTTCGCCCACTACGACGTGCAGAGCATCCTGTTCGACCTCAACGAGGCGGCCGCAAACCGGCACCAGCTGGGCCGGCGCGTCAATACCACTACGGGAGCGTCGGCCGCCTCGCAACCCCCGCGAGCCCTCGGGGCCCTCGCCGCTTGTCCCGGCGGCGGCGGCGGCGGCAGCAGCGGCAGCATCGCGGGGACGGGCGGCTCCCCGTCGGGCAGCACGGAAGACCTGAACGGCCGCGAGTGCCCCGACCCGGACACGGGCGATGGCAAGAGCTGCGAGCTGCTGCACAGCTGCCCGTACTTCCGCAACGAGGTCGGCGGCGAGGGCGAGCGGCGCATCGGGCTGACGCGCTCGGGCGGCGGCGGGCCGGTGCCGGGCGCCGGCGGGTCGGCGGCGGACGGGGCGTCGTCATCCTTCGAGTGGTCGCTGAGCTCCCACTGCACCAATGCGGGCGTGTCGGTGCTCGAGGTGCCGCGGGAGAGCCAGGCCGTGCACTGCGAGAAGGTGAAGCGCTACATCATCGAGCACATCGACCTGGGCGCCTACTGCTACCGCAAGCACTTCCACGGCAAGGGTGAGTCGAGGGCGCCAGGTGCCGCCTCCGTCGTGACGCTGCTGTTGGGTGCCGCGGTGGCGAGATGTTAACTACGTCTCCTGGTATGCGGGAGCTGGGTGGGTTCGATCCTGACCCTGACGCCTGTGTATTTGGAGTTTGCATGTTCTCCCTGTGGTCACGTGGATTTTTCTCCGGGTCCTCCGGTTTTTCCCTTAACATTTAGAAACGTGCGCTTTGGGTTTTTGGCTGCTCTACATTTGCACGTGATGAGACACTTAATTGGGTTATCATTTGTGGCCAGGTCGCATCTGATAAAGAGCTATATAGTTCAGTGGGCCTTACCTGGTAAAATAAAATAAAAAGTTTAGTTTTGGTTTGGCGCAACGCGTTGATTTTCACGACTGAGTTTTATGATTCGTACGATTATTTTTTGGGTCTTTAATACCGACCGCCACGCGAGACGTCCAGGCGTTAAATGCACCAGCCATTACTGTTTCACATCTCCAGTAAGTCGAAGAATAATTATCACGACGTTTTGTTTGAAACTGCGTCTGTGAGGGTTGCTCATTTTTATTATGGGAGAGAGAGGACTTTGGATACATTTTCTCTCCCATGCAATTCCATCAAAGTTTTTACAGGGCACCAATGCTGGATTTTTCAACGTGCTTTAAAGGCGACCGAAGGAAGGACAATAACTAGATTCAGAATACAATGAATCTTAACAAGATTTTAAAATGTATTAACTATAACTTTATCCCTTATGCACTATTGATACACGACACGAGGAAGCAAACCAACTGTGCCGGATAATAATTTCTCGACAACCGTGCACAACCAACTCTGAAAAACTCTGGGCAGCAGCAACAGCACACATTTACATCACCCCGTAGTTCGGCTTAACACAGCGATCCCGCGTGCCTCCAATCACAGAACACCGCGATGACCGTTCGCACCAGCCCTTGCGCACGCCCCACCCTTGGGTGACGAGGTAACGCAGCAGAAGCCCCCGGGGTACTTAACGGCAGTCCCGGGACTTGGTCTGCGCTCACGACAGCGCTCCGAGCGACTCAACGCAGCCGCAGTCTCGGCCAACGAGCCGCGCGGACGACAGCAGCCGCCCCTCCCCCCGACCCCCGGCGAACAGCGACCACCCCGACCCCCGTACACGGGTAGCGCTCGCTTAAATACACAAACCTGGTACCGCCCTCACGGCCTCTATCGATCAACTTGGCTCGTGCAGCGCCCCTCCAATCGGAACCCCGTAACGTCGTTACTTTTTGTTGACAATTTCCACCAATCACGCACAGCCCCATCGACTAACCCCGCCCCTGGTCAAGGCCAGACTCCATCGTGCCCTTGGCTTCCGGAGATGTGGGGTTTAGGGCATTTTCCCCCCATAACCGCTTACCTCGCGTAACCTCGGCCACCCCGCATAACCCCGGGGCGACAGTATGTGTCTAGACTGTTACAGCGATAAACATCATCAGGACCAGGTCCAGCAAGTCCGAATAAACATCCAGGCTTCTTAAACAGGTGTCATGACTTCGCACGAGCAACCAGATAAATCATGGTAACCTTATCGTTGCGCTTGTAAGTTCAGTATTTGCCGCACGATTCAGGATTGCGGTTCAATTCAAAAACGACTTTGTCTTGTGTTCGTGTCTTCTGCGTCCGTCTCATTGTAGTCTCGTTCATTTGATAAGTAATATTTGCCTGTAACAACAATAATAATGTACAGCCCTGTGTCAATCCACTATTGGATGAAAGGTTCCCGACGCCATGTCAGTCGTGGGCGCCGTTTGACCATACTTCACCACGCTGTTGAGTGCGAAGCGCCGAAAGGGGGGCAGGACCGCTTGCTTTGGATGTCACGCGCCACTGTTGTTAGCCGTGGTGGTCGTGGTTGGGAATCGAACTCGGGCAGCCAGCTTCGTTGCACGCGCTGCCCCCTCCTTCTCCTTCCTCCTTCGTTCTTCGCCAGTCCCTCGCAGTCGAGGGCGATCGTCTTCCATCGGCGTCTTACCCGTGCCTCCGACGATGGCTGACGAGGCCGATCTCAGATCGGCGGACTCTTTGTCGCTGCTCGGCCGCCGCCTGCTTCCGTGCAGGAAGGGTGGTGGGGTCCCCGTCCCGTCGATTCGGTGTGCGACCACGCGCCGTTTCTTCCGCTCCCGCTTGTCATCCGCCTCTTGCCACCCGGGGACTGATCGATCCTGGGCAATAGCTTATAATTAGCACGAATTGTGAAATGTACGTTCTCGTGCTCCCCACGTTTCGCCGCGCCGATCGTGACCCGTGGGGAATCCGTTTTGAGCAATCGATGAATCCGTACGCGCCGATCGAACAGCCCAATGTTTTGCGTCCCCTCGTTCGCCTGCGCCCGCAAGCGCCGAGTGCACCTTTGAACCCCGTCCCGCACAGCGTCCGGAGTTGCGTTTATGTTTAGACGCAGTACAAAATGTTTCCAAGTGATATGGTTGTTCTTGTTCTATTTTACCACCCATATCTTTTCTTATGAGGCGCCGCGGGTGAACAGGACCAGGGGGGGGAATGCATTTAAATGTTGGCGGCATATTCCTCTTAAATCTCGTAAATGGCTTTGTAATTGTTGCAATTTCCTCAGGAGCTCAAAAAAAAGCTCCCGTTGAACCTCTTTGCCAGTAAAATCGAAAGCCTGCTATTTTAGTGTCGCCACTACCGTGCCACTGGCAGGGTGAGATTCAGCTCAAAATAGACAGCACTACTCGGATCCATTCGGTCATTACAGCGCTATTTTCAGTGAGAACTGGATCTCGTCTTGGGGAGAAACCTCTTCGTAGCTTTTATTCTCATATTTCAGACTTGGCAGGATCTATAATTTAAACCCAACGGTCCGCTTGCTCATTCCAAGTCAAACGGATAGATTTTGATTTCTATTCTTTGTGCCTAATTGCACGCTTCTGTGAGGTGAGTCATTCACTCCTCGCCCGTGTTAATAATGAGGTTTTTTTTTCCAACGCAGATTATATAATATATATCTGCCAGTGGCGTACAAAAGTGAAGATAAAAAAAAATCCCTCAACTCTCATCCTTATCACTGCCTTTATAGCAGACAAATAATATAATCTTAGAGGATAGAAGGCTCACGTTTCGGGGCAATGCCTCGAACTTCTATGCGCAAGTCAATGCCGAAACGTTAGCTTGCTCTAATCTCCGTCTTGCCGCCTTTGGAAGATATACGTGAGTAGGTAGGCCAGCGATTTTGCCAATGTCCCAGCTTTGAATAAATATGTATGCAGCCTGCTTATATCTGCGTTACGAGGCGTTAATGACGTGGGTGCTTAGTGGGGTTTTTTTCTTTCTGGATTCGCTCCCTCCGGTTTTTATTTTACTCGCTCGACTTAAACGTTTTTGTTCTTTACAAAGTGAAGGCCCCTGCGGTGCTGCACCCCGCACTCGCCTCGCAAAGCTGCACAGAGGCTGCGGGGGAGCTCGAAGCTTCAGCTGTTGTGTGTCAGCTGCCGGGTGGCACTCGGCTCGGTTTGTCACAGCAGGTGCGATAATCCCAGGCATTGAAAGCCTCCGTGGGGGTTGGGGTTGCAGAGAGGGGCCTGTGTTGGGGAGGGGGTGGAGAAGGGTCGGGTGTGGGGTGGGTGGAGAGGGTCTGGTTTAGGGCAACGACGTTGGGCAGTGGTGGGGTGGCCAGTTTGTGGGATAATAGAGGGCCTCTCTGGGCACGACTGTGTGGGTCAGAGTCAGACGCGATTCAATTTAAATTAATATTCCACTCCAAAAGCGCTCTGCTCTTCACTCAACTTGAGGGTTTTTTTTTTTGTACGTCTCATTGTGGTGTCGCTGTTCTCAACAAGGCGCTTGAATTGTGGCCAACAAATGTGAAATAACTGGAGTGCTTTGTGTTGAAGCCCCCTTTGGTCGTGAAAATGAGTCCATGTCTTTTTTTACCCATTCATTAGAAAGGATTCTCTTTTAGAAATAACCTCGTTCCTGCCCATCTCTTTAAATTGTTCTTAATTATGGCCACACAAATCCAAAGCTTGGTGTTTTCACACGGCGCGGAAATTGGAACTGTTTAACGTACGTATCTGCTACGTATGGTTCATCTTCATTGTTCCGAGCGGTGTGGCCGGCCCCACGGAACTGAGCGGTGCGGCCGCATCCGTTTCTGTCACGTTTGGCTCCCGGGTGCAGCACGTGGGGGCAAGAGGTGCTGCGTACAATATTCGACGATGCTTTTCCCGTGGCTTCACCCAAGGGTCCTTGTGCATCTTTTATTCATCGCTGGGTTGTTTAAACAAAGACGTGCGAGACAATCAGCAAATCGCCCAGCTGCTGTTTGCAGCTTCTGTGAATTGCAAATAGAGAAGTTACAACTATTACTAAATAAGAGGGTGGCGTTTCGTTTTTTGGGAAACTGTGAAAGTCCTCATTGCCAAAATCAGCCATGAGCGTGGCGCATCCAGAAGTGTAATTTGAAGTGATCTCAGTAGGGTACTTTGATGAAATAAATCGAAGTTGAATAGCGAAGCTGAATAACCAACGTAAAAATAAAAAATGGCAATGTGTTTCATATGCCAGGAGGGAAGTGTTCGCCGGCGGTGAGGCTGCGTTGCAGCAAGCCGCCTCTAAATCGCGTGGCGATGTCACGCCTCTGTGCAGATGCGCGCCGCCATGAAACAGGCTTAGGTGCCGTCCCCACGCCTCCAATCGTGCGCCGAACAAAAGCCGCCTCATGTCCCGCGTCCAGCGTGCACGAAGCGTGACATCGTAGCTGGGTCGGAACGGGGCTCCAAAAAAATATATACGGGCATTTGAGAGGGCGGTTGAAAGAGAAGCTTTCAGCTGCTGGGCGCCCGGACCCTTCGCTTGAACGTCTGATACAATGCGTCGTCAACAAGGGCGGTCGTTGAGTGTTGAGGAGGAACTAAAACCAGACAACGCGGCGTCTGAACCGCCCGCTGTCTTCGGTGTCACCGCAGTGACCCAGTGGTGACTTCACCGCGGAGGAGAAAAAAGCGGCG